GTTAAGTGTCTGACTCGATCTCAGCTCAGGTCTTGATCTCAGGGTCATGAGTTCAAGCCCTGCATTGGGCTCCATCCTGGGCATGGAGCCTACTTAAAAAAAAAAAAAAAAAAGCATCTTTTCAAGCTGGTTCATTTCCAGACTGGGTAAAACATCCCTGCTCCGAGTACCCTAAGCACTTGCCTGTATTGGCACTTAGCAGACTATTGTTATGGCTTGCTTAATAATCCGGTCCTCCCTGGGGCACCTGGGTGGCTCAGTCATTGGGCGTCTGCCTTCAGCTCCGGTCATGATCCCAGGGTCCTGGGATCGAACCCCGTGTCGGGCTCCCTGCTCAGCCAGAAGCCTGCTTTTCCCTCTCCCACTCCCCCTGCTTGTGTCCCCTCTCTTGCTCTCTCTTTCTGTCAAATAAATAAAATATTTAAAAAATAAATAAAAAATAAATAATCCGGTCCTCCCTGTGCTAGGGACCATGGCCCCTTTGCCATCTGTCTAACACAACATCTTGCACATAGGAGAGTCCTGGTAAAGGTTTATCCAATGTATGAATGACTAGATCTTCATAGAAAACTGGAAGGATATGCACCAACAGGTTAAGAAAGCTTATTTCTGGATATCTAAGTATTTTTCTTCCTTATACTTTTTTACAAGCTCCAAATTTTCTACAATGGACCTAATATCATTCTGTAGTCAGAAAAGATAGCATACAATTACTAAACATTGTAACTCAGAGCCTGCCATGAAATACTTGGAGCCCAGTTTTTTGTTTTTAAAGATTTTATTTATTTATTTGACTGAGCCATCCAGGTGCCCCTGGAGCCCAGTTTTTAATATGAGCTCCCTGTTAGGCTCTGCCCTGTTTCATCAAATCCATTATTTGCAAATCAGAACTCAAATAACACATATATTAAAAGGTGATTTTTCTCAACACCAGAAGATTCATGGAAGGGGGTCCATTAAATTGTAAATTCTTCTAAGACATGTTGACATCATTTCCTTTTTTTTTTTAAGATTTTATTTATTTATTTGACAGAGAGAGAAAATAAGCAGGGGGAGCGGCAGAGGGAGAGGGGGAAGCAGGCTCCCCACTGGGCAGGGAACCCGATGCGGGTCTCCATCCCAGGACCCTGGGATCATGACCTGAGCTGAAGGCAGGCGCTTAACTGGCTGAGCCACCCAGGTGCCCCTGACACCATTTTCAAAATAGTCCATCTATCTACTTATTTTCAAGACAAATCTTCAAGGGAAGTTCACTGGCTTAATTTTATTTTGTGAAAGCTACTGTTTAGAAATCTTCATCCTCCTAATCCACTGGTCATTTTACCTAGAGCATGGATGGTATCAAGTATTTTTATGAAAGTCTGAGGTTTATACTTTCTTTAAGGTGAAATGATTTGCTTTTTCCTGGTAAAATTCAAAAGAGAATTTTTTTTAAGATTTTATTTATTTATTTGAGAGAGAGAGAGAGAGAGAGCATGAGAGGGGAGAGGGTCAGAGGGAGAAGCACACTCCCCGTTCAGCAGGGAGCCCGATGTGACTCGATCCCGGGACTCCAGGATCATAACCTGAGCCGAAGGCAGTCGCTTAACCAACTGAGCCACCCCGGCGCCCTAAAAGAGAATTTTTTTAAAGTTTGCATCCTGGCATCCTTAGCCAGGGATGTTTCACAATGGAAAGCACAAAACCATAATAGTTTTAGGTTGTCCTCAAACTGTTTCATTCTATGGCTCTACCCTCCAACTATCCCCTAGGTACTAAAGGCACACATTTCCCAGGCTTCTCCTCATTTGGTTTTGTAGAAGCTCCAAACCCAGATAAAAATATTTGAATAATCAAAGTTGTTCTGATCTCACTCTTTTTTTTTTTAATAGATCTTATTTATTTATTTGAGAGAGAGAGATCGCCCGAGAAAGGGAGACCATGAGCAGGGGGGACGGGCAGAGGGGAGAGGGAGAGGGAGAAGCAAACTCCCCACTGGGGCAGAGGGGAGGGGAAGAGGGAGCAGCAGACTCCCCACTGGGGCAGAGGGGAGGGGGAGAGGGAGCAGCAGACTCCCCACTGGGGCAGAGGGGAGGGGGAGAGGGAGCAGCAGACTCCCCGCCGAGCAGGGAGTCCAAAGCAGGACTTGATCCCAGGACCCTGGGATCATGGCCTGAACCGAGACAGACGCTAAACTGACTGATCCACCCAGGCGCCCCTGATCTCACTCTTTTGAGGCCCCTTCCTAGTTAATTCTGTTCTGTGTCTGCCTAGTGAACATCCTGTCACACACAGACACACGTACCCCATAACTGTAGCTTGCACCGTGTACTCCCCAGGCAAAAATTCCATCCTTCCATTTGCCCTCACTCCAATCAAACTGATCTGCCCAGCATGCCTCTCATTCTTGTTACATAACAATACAGCATAAGGTTTTCCAGTGGTTTATTGGTTCTTGCTGGTGGGTGTCAGGCTTGCCTTTTAACAGCAGGCTGACATAACAGCCTTGCCCCAAGGCTGTCCTTCTAATAATCGTGCTAATTTCAGGAGTCGTGCCTGTCTGCCATACCACCATCTCATTGCAGTCCCCCCCCCCCCGGGAAGAAGTGGGAAGGAGAGGGAAAATGCTAACCATCTGAGACAACTCAAGGAGGGGCCCCATTGTTGTCCAAGAGTTTGCATTTCTGTCCCTATGCCTTCTTCCTGGCAGGCCCTTGGTGACATTCCGTATCAGAAGAGCAGGCATGTGGTGAAATGGAAACTGTCCCATCAAATAGAGAAGCAAATAAGAACACAAGGGTAAGTACATTGAGCCCAGCCTTCCTGTTGGATTAAAAATCTCTCTGGGTTATCCGTTAGTCACCCTTCATTTTATCTGAACAGAGGCTTTTTTCTACTGTGGAGAAGCAGGTCACCTCTGCAGGTTCTCTGTGCTCTATTACCTAGACCTGTGGAAGCGTCCCCTTGTTTGGTGGCAGAGTCTGGAACTGCTGCTCGGCGGGACTGGGTCATTCAGGCCGCCACCTTTGCCTAGACCCACGTACTCCAAAGCTCCCTTTTCCTAGTTTATTATAACTCCAGTCCTTTTTCTTTTTAATTTGCTTCTCTTTCTTTTTAAAAATTTGTATTTATTTTTTAAATTGAAGTATAATTAACCTTCAGTGTTATATTAGTCTCAGGTGTACAGAATGTTTCTCAAGAATTCTGTACATTACTCAGTGCTCATCATGGTAAGTGTGCTCTTAATCCCCATCACCTATTTCACCCACCTCCTTAACCACCACCCCTTTGGTAACCACCAGTTCTCTGTATTTTAAGAGTCTGGTTTTTTGTTTGTCTCTTATTTTCTTTGTTTGTTTCATAAATTCTACACCTGAGTGAAATCATATGGTATTTGTCTTTCTCTGACTGATTTATTTCATTTAGCATTATACCCTCTGGATCCATCCATGTTGTTGCAAATGGCAAGATTTCATCCTTTTTTATGGTTGTTCTTGATGGTGAAATTGGAGCTTGTTTAAGTAATCTTGACAGCTGGAGGGACAATTCTGACCTCTAGCTCTTGACCTTACAAAGCAACTGCCCAACGCAAATATAATGTAAGCTACATATGTGACTTAAAATTTTGAGTAGTCATATAAAAAAAGTAAAAAGAAACAAGTGAAGTTAATTTTAATAGTATTTTATTCAACTCAATATATCCAAATACATTTATACCCAATTACATTTCAGCATGTAATCAATATGAAAATTATTTATGAAATATTTTATATTTTTTGTACTAAGTCTTTGAAATCTGGGTGTGTATTTTGTGTTCACAGTGCATCTGAATTTGGACTAGCATATTTCAAATGCCCAGGGGTCACATATGGACAAAGGCTACTGCATGAAACGGCAATTATAGAGGAAGTATGGCAGGATTTTGGAGATTGTCCAGCCTGACTCCTTATTTACAGAAAAGTTAAGTACATACTCTGAAGTTATGCAACCAGTTTGTAAAAAAGGCGGGATTAGAAGCCAATTATCCTCACCCTACCCTATAGTCTTATTCTCAAAGCTGATTAGCAGCAAAGCTGGACTAGAACCCGAACCTCCTTAGGCCTGCTCACACCTGCTCTGGACCTCTCTTTTCTACCAGGCAGGCCTAGAGGGAAGAAGCCTTTACACCTGTCTTACTTTCCTCCTAAATAGACTAACAGCTCCACTTGGAAACAATCTGGCTGTAAACCAAGACCAGAGTGGGGTTGAATTTTTCCATATCTTTCCACCAGATAATGTTTTTTTATGACTTGTCACCCTTGTCCCCGAAACCAGAAACTCTTAGTTTCACCAAGCTACTTAAAAAACTCTGATTCCGGGCGCCTGGGTGGCTCAGTTGGTTAAGCGACTGCCTTCGGCTCGGGTCATGATCCTGGAGTCCCGGGATCGAGTCCCACATCGGGCTCCCTGCTCAGCAGGGAGTCTGCTTCTCCCTCTGACCCTCTTCTGTCTCGTGCTCTCTATCTCTCATTCTCTCTCTCAAATAAATAAATAAAATCTTTAAAAAACAAAACAAAAAACTCTGATTCCTTTAGGCAATGGTTCTCAATAGAGGTGTCCATCAGAATCACCTATGGAGCTTCAAAATGATTCAAATGACTGGTCCCCCGCTCCAAATCCTGATGTATAGGTTTGTGGAGGAAGTCAAGTAGATCACTATTTTTTAATGGTTCCCAAGTGATTCTGATGCACACCCCCAACTCACAATGACCTCACCAACTGCCAAATCCCTGCTGATGTTGCCAGACCCTCAGGTGTCTGACATTGTTGACCTTGCCAGACCAGACAGGTCGGGTCTTAAGAAAGAACCTGGTCTCAAGGAAAGAAACATGAGATAGGTACCCCAGCACCTCCGGGGGCGGGGCTTCCTGCTTCCTTTTCCTCCACACGCTCTGCTCCCAAGGCCACCTCCAGCCTCATTTCCTGATTCTCCAGCCTCAGCTGCAGTGCAGCCCCAGCTGGTGAGGAAGGCAGGAATGTGGCAGACAGGACTCGCTCTCATGGCCTTGGCTGCCTGTGTGGCCCTTCCCTCCTCGGAAGGTGAGTGGGGGCGCTGCCTCCCAAGTTGGAGCTGGAAGGAGTGAGGTGCTGGAGGCAATTTGGGGCAGGAAGTTCGATCTCTTCAGGTAGGAATTTCCAATTATCTACAAGAGAGCGGCATAGGTTTAAGTTCCTGATCTTCTAGAAGGACGGAACCTCATTTGAACAGGCATATTAGTAATTTGCCACGTGGAGGATGAGATCCTTCCATACAGCAACTTTAAGCTGTTTCCTTTTCTGACAACAGTGTCTTAGAAAACCCCCAGGGAGAGGTTGGAGGAAAGCTCTGTCTCCCCCCTCATCCTAGCCTGCTACACTGGATACAAGTGTGCATGTTCCTACAGGAAAGACAGACTTGACCTTCGGGGTTAGAGGTTTGGTAAGCAACAAAGTCAGCCCTGTGGATGCTGCAAACCAAAACTTCAATCGGACATTGAAAAAGGGATGCAGGAGAGGGGCAGCTGGGTGACTCAGTCGGTTAAGCCTCTGACTCTTGATTTTGGCTCAGGTTATGGTCTTGGGGTCTTGGGGTTGTGTGATTGAGCCCCGCTTGGGTCTCTGTGCTCAGCCGCGCATCTGCTTCTCTCCCTCTCCCTCTGCCCCCTTCCACTGCCTTCTCTCTCTCTCTCTCTCTCTAAAATAAATAAGTGGGTCGTGGGGCACCTGGGTGGCTCAATTGGTTAAGCATCTGCGTTCGGCTCAGGTCATGATTCCAGGGTCCTGGGATGGAGCCCCACGTCAGGCTCCCTGCTCAGTGGGGAGCCTGCTTCCCTCTCTCCTCCCTGCTCCTGCTCTCTCGCTATCTCTGTCTCTCTCTCCAATAAATAAATAAAATTTAAAAAATAAAATAAATAAATGGGTCTTTATAAAAAAAGGGATGCAGGATAGAGGAGATCGAACCATATAAATTATATCAAAGAGAACTTAATTTGTGAATTGCTAGCATATATATGGAGATTATAACTGCATTTGGACCAGAGGCAATGTTTTCTACTGTACTTAGGAAAACCTAAACATAAGGACTTATTACTTGACTGATTTGACTGTTATCCCCTTTATTCTGAATAGATTCTCTAAATCCAGAACAGAGGTGAAATATAAGTTTTGTTTGGTCTGCTTTTGAAAACATTAAGCCAACATTTAAAAACTGACAGATTTCATGTACACATTCTCATACAGACACACAAACTGGATTTTTTAAAGCTTCTCTTGAAAAATCACAGCTGGCCACAAGGGTTCCATGTTCCCTGGCAAAAACTGGCTGGAGCAGAATAGCCTCTGTCCTTCTCTGAAGTTGGCTCTCATCCTATTAACTGCCTGGTTCCTACAGGTATTTGTTTAGGGGCCCCAGTATAGTGCACCAATGTACTGGGTTTTATATGACTGAGCATGGGAAAAAAATCTGGGTGATCTCTTCTTCACTTCTTTCAATCTGTCTTATTAAGACAAAGACGCCAGTGTGTCATCTTATATGTTTCTGTAAAATTTTTTCAGAAAAAGTCACCATGGAAGTTTTAGGATTCACTTTCACCGTCTCTCAAAGGTTTACCTGCTAAGGCTTTAGTCCTAGTTTTGGCAGTACAAATTTAATTTTTTTCACAGAAAACTTTTAAATAAAAGTGTATGTTTCTCCCTTCCGCTTCCTGACCTGGTTCCAACTGTCCTCGCAGCAGCCCCCCTCCGGGCGGGGAGGGAGAGAAGGGCGGGGGAGGTGGGGGATGTCCCCGCCGCACCCAGGACCCAGGGCCAAGCTTCGCGGGGGACCCAGTCCTGGCAGAGAGGGCGGGACCGCAAAACACAGAGGGGTTCGAAAAAGGAACGGCCGGTGATGGTAAGAAAGAAAGAGCACCGAGGAGACCCCGCGGTGGCCTTCTGGGCTATTCCCAGGGTTTTTTTTTTTTTTTCCTAAGGCAGTTTGGGCCACCGGAAAATCACAGTGTCCTCTGCCATTTAAAAATAAGCAATGCCTGAGAGCAGCTGTGGAACCGAGAGGGGCAACCAGCTGCTTTCCAGAAAAGACTTCCGCGGACTACCTCTGTGTCCTGCGCGCCCTGTGGGAGGCTCTAAGGGATTCCGGCCTGGGAGGGGGAGGGAGGCAGGGAGGGAGGCATACTGAGCAGGGCAGGGAAGGAGGAATAGGTAGCTTTGGCAGTCGTCACAGGCTGGGGCTGGGGACCTGGAAGTGGTCTGTGCCCGCTGGAGACTTTGAGAACTACATTTTGTTCTTACAGGCATCAACCGTTCCATTATCTTACTGTTGCCGTAAACGACCATTTTAATGTTAGGGCTCAGTAATTGGCATTCTCAAAGTGTTGTGCATATATCAGGAAGCAGTTGACTTACCTGTAATTAAAAGGCTTGGATTCCACCAAAGGTAGGAGGGCAAGCTCTCTAGCTGCTGACGTGGCTGCTGGCTCCCAGAACTCATTGCTGAGTCCATAAAAATATCTATCATCCATCCTCAGTGGCCCTGAGCCAGATGATTCAAAGCTGCAATCTGGGGCTTTGTGGGCCTGGAGTTTTTACTCTGTACATGGAGACTAAGGCTCCGCTTGTCTCTGGCAGATGCAAGCTGGCGGATTTTGCTTCAGAACCCAAACGGACTTCTGACAACCTATTTTGTCAGAGTAGGATGGCTCCTCCTTACACAGACTCTTGCTAGGGACTTGCTGCTGGCATCTTTTTTTTTTTTTTTTTTAAGATTTTATTTATTTATTTGAGAGAGGGAGAGAGAACGAGCAGGGGGGGAGGCAGAGGGAGAGGGAGAAACAGAATCCCCGCTGAGCAGGGAGCCCCGACTGGGGCTCAATCCCAGGACCCCGGGATCATGACCTGAGCCAAAGCCAGGAGTCACCCATTCAACTGACTGAGCCACCTCGGCGCCCCCAGGGGTTTTTTAAATGTCCTGTCTATGTCTGGAAAAGCAGAATGATATAACAGCAGTCTTCTCAAATCTGAGTCGTATATGGGCCCCTTTAAAGGAAAACATTCTTTTTTTACTCTCAATGATGACCTTTATATTATTTTACTATGTTACTTGATATATAAACATGAAACCAATTATGAACACCCAAATAAATTTAAATTTTAAATAAAAACACAGCTACAAAGCCAAGAATATGTCAATGTAATAATATTAATTTAAATTAATAGTTAATGTTTGGCCAAAACTTACATCATCATTCCAAACATGAATATAGCACTGATTCTTAAGATGCAAATTTTGAGTTTTATGTGCATATACTACCGTGTTCAGAATGAGAAGTGCTTTTTCCCCACGACTTTTTTGTTTGAACCACAATGATATAACTGAGTCCTCCCTTAATATGAATGCATTATGAAATTCTAGTCTGTTCTTTTCTGACTGACCTGGGACAATTAAGGTAGGGTCTCACTTGCTAACAACATTAGCATAAACAAGCAAAATTCAAATGTCCTGAAAGTACTCTTTTAAGATGGTCTTCCAGAAGATCCAGAACATGTCTATTTAAAGATTATGAGTGAGATGACATACTAAGATTTAGGAATTGTCTGTAGAGCTCATGAACCCTGAGAACACACCCAGAGGCCCCCTCCTATGAAACCCAGTTTGAGAAACACTGGCAAGACTGGGAAGAGTCACTTTGGACTCCAAAAAGCCAAGTCAAAATTCTAAATACATGAACTTGAGAAATTATTTAATCGTTCTGAGCCCATTTTCTTAATGGTAAAACAGGAATAATAATGCCTCTCTTACCTAGTTATTTTCATGATTAAATGAAGTAACATAAGGAAAGTGTTTGGCATAGAGGACGTGCTCAATAATAGTTTCCAGGGCGCCTGGGGGGCTCAGTAGGTTAAGTGTCTGCCTTTGGCTCAGGTCATGATCCCAGGGTCCTGGGATCGAGCCCCACATCAGGCTCCCCATTCAGCGGGGAGTCCGCTTCTCCCTCTCCCTCTGCTCCTCCCCCTGCTTGTGTGCTCTGTCAAATAAATAAATAAAATATTAAAAAAAATAATAATCTGTTTCCTTCCCTTTCCTCTCACCAGGTTCTATCACCAACTTTTTAGATTAAAATTATGAAAAGTCACAAAAATCAAAGAATTTAATTCCTAAAATTATAAAAAGTAACAAATAGTCTAAATTTTTAAAATAGAAAATATAGAATAAAAAATGTGAAAGTCCCCCTTCTCCATTCCTTTCATCCCTCTCCTCTATCCAGAGGTAATAACCCCTCTGGGTTCTCTGTATCCTTCCAGAACTCTCTCTATGCATTTGCAAATATGAACCCACACACATTAACACAGATTTTTGAAAACATGAAAAGGAAAACTATCTACACATTACCTATTTTCATTTAATTTTTTAAATTTTATTTTATTGTTATGTTAATCGCATTACATCATTAGTTTTTGATGTAGTATTCCATGATTCATTGTTTGCATATAACACCCAGTGCTCCATTCAATACGTGCCCTCCTTAATACCCATCACCAGGCTAACCCATTCCCCTACCCCCCTCCCCTCTAGAACCCTGTTTGTTTCTCAGAGTCCATCGTCTCTCATGGTTCATCTCCCCCTCCGATTTCCCCCCTTCATTTTTCCCTTCCTACTATCTTCTTCTTTTTTTTTTTTTAACATATAATGTATTATTTGTTTCAGAGGTACAGGTCTGTGATTCAACAGTTAAAGATTTTTACTTATTCATTTGAGAGGGAGAGAGAGAGAGAGCACAAGCAGGGGGAGCAGCAGAGGGAGAGGGAGAAGCAGACTCCCAACCGAGCAGGGAGCCCAATGAGGGACTCGATTCCAGGACCCTGGAAACATGACCCGAGTTGAAGGCAGACGCTTAACCACTGAGCCCCCCAGGTGCCCCTCCATTTCATACATCACAGATAAGAGTATAGCTATTTAACACACAGTCATTTTTAAAAAATTTGGATCATTCATCTTATAGGCAACATACAAACTTCTGGGAATAGTTTGGAATATTGAAGTTCCATTTATTCATTCATTATCAGTGAAAGTCTTATTAAGAGACAGAAACCTGACAAAAAGTTTGAACAGGGTAAGTATATCAAATTAATATATCAAATTATTAACTATAACAAGACATGGGCTACAAGGAGGTAAACAGAACTGTAAGAGTATAGGGATGGCTGGGGCTGACATTGGTAGGGCCGAAGGGGAGTGTTCAAGGGAAGGGATCCTGCCCCCCTTCCCTGCCCAGCTGAGATTCAGACCGTGTTGGAGAGGGCACAGCCGTGGCTCACCAAATGGCCAGGAAATCCCTTGGTCTGCCCTCCGGTGTGCAGGAGGCAAGTTCTTCGCGGGGAGGTGTCCCGCTGGAGACATTCTGCCACCAAACTGCCTGGGCGGGTGCTTGCGAGCTGTCCTGAGCTACCAGAGCAGGGGCCAGAGGAGCTGCAGCCCAGCAGGAGTGGGGCCGGCATGAGCCCCCGGGGCAGGAGCACCTGCAGCCTGGAAGGAGAACCCCTTCTCGCTGCAATGCCATTCCAGTGTCCTCCATGACGGAGCTTAACACCAGGCCAGCTGGTGAAGGAAAGGTTTTTAAAGGGCTCATGTTACGTTCACAGAACTAGCAATTAAGGATGAATGTGAAGCTGAGGGGCAGGAAATGGACAATGGGCACATTTTACAAGCACTTAATATTGACACCTAGATACCTACTATGGGGCAGGCAATGCAGTTTTGTTTCTAATTATTATTATTATTATTTTTAAAGATTTTATTTACTTATTTGACAGAGAGAGTACACAAGCAGGGGGAGCGGCAGGGAGAGGGAGGGGAGAAGCAGGCTCCCTGCTGAGCAAGGAGCCTGATGGGGGCTCGATCCCAGGACCTTGGGATCAGGACCTGAGCCGAAAGCAGACGCTCAACGACTGAGCCACCCAGGTGCCCCTTGTTTCTAATGATTGAGTGTTTACTTGTCACTTTGTTCTAAGCACTTAAGTATATAAAGCCATGCAATCTTCATAACACCCCTCTGAGGTAGGTGATATCACCACCCCCATATTACAGATAAAGAAACAGACAGAATTAAGTAACTTATCCAACATAAGCCAGTAAGTGATAAAGCCAGGAATTGAATCTGGTTGTTTGTCTCCATATGCTTAACTACTGTGCAGTGATGCCTTTCAGCATGTCCCTCTGGCACAAAATTATCCCCATCCCCTTCAGGACTACCCGCCCCCACCACCACTCCAAGTGTCCATGCTGTGAGAAGTACTAATGACCAGATGTCTTCACATTAAGGTAAAGAAAAAGCCTCATTCACTCTTCATTACCAAACATTATCCCATGGTTCCAAAAAGTATCTGGGAGGATATTAATTGGGCATAGCAATTTCATGCATCATTGCTTGGTGAGTCCTCCCCGCTTCCTCGATGTTAGCAGTGGACACCTTCATCTGCAGGCCTCCAGTGTGATGTGGCTCCATAAGGTGTGAAGTCCACTAGAACAGGGAACTGTAACCTTAACCAAACACATTCAAAACATTATCTTTATTTACATACTGGCCTTCTTAAATGGCACTCACAAACCCGAGATGCTGATAGCAGGCAAGTGAATCTTTCTTATTGTTTTTATCTTTACCCTGGGAATCCTTTCTCCAAGAGTAGCACAAACTTTTGCTTTGTTTCTATTTTACTATGTTCTATAAAGTGTTCTTTATACCAGTGTTTTTCAAACTGCACTTCTAATAAGCCCTCAAATGACGCCACTGCTGCAGCTCCGGGAATCACACTTTGAGTGGCAAGAGGCTATACAGCTAAGTAAGAGAGGAAGCTGGTTCATCGCTCTGTAATAACAGGATTATTTCCTTAAAACCCAGAATCTAATTTTTATATCATGAATTTGATGTGCAGTGTTTTAGCATTAATCTTAACAGAACTTGAGCAGGAAATTTTTAAAGCCTTGATACAAAATTGGATCACAGACAGAACCAAATCGGGGACAGACGTTCGTGGCAAATGACCCACCCAACTCTCTGACAATACTGGAAATATTACAATAACAAAACCCAAAACCAACAGAATTATTAGCAATAACACTTTAATAACTAATACTTTTACTAGAAATACCAATATCTTTATTATTAAATATAATTATTAAATTATTAATTATATCGGATCATTAAATTATTAATTATATTAAATTATTAAATATAATGGGGCAAATGATTTATCATATTGAGTTGATGCCTAAGTACTTGAGTGATGGTGGAGGGATAATGTTTCTGAAAAGCATGTGTAATTTAAGGACATTTGGGACATAAGACCTTGATCAAATATAGGTAATCTTATTTCCTAAAAAAAAAAAAAAAAGGAAAGTTATTTTAATAGCATTAAAAGCCTTAAAACAAGATACAATGAAATTAAGACAAAAGAGCTTAGTTCAGCTCAAGAGACATTTATTTAGCATTAATACCAGGTACTATGCTATGTGGTGCGGGTACAAATATATACTGAGGGAGCTCACAGTCAAAAGACACAGTCAGAAACTCTTAAATTTTATATATGGTAATGACAGGAAAGCACAGGATGCTGTGGGACCAGAGATTCACATAAGAAAACAGCAAGACTGGGAAAAAGGAGACAATTAATGACATCTTGAACTTGGTCATTAGTTAACAGGGATGAAAAGGGGGGAGACAAATCTGAGAAATGTTAGAGTAAAATATACAGGAGTTTGTGACTGGCTGTGAAGGAGGTTGGAATGACACATGGGTTTCCGGGTAGCAGTAAATGACCATTATGTGAGATGAGAAAAGGAAAGGAACAGATTTTCAGTGGTAAGAAATAATGCCTTCAGTTTGGGATTTATTAAGTTGGGGAGTCTGTGGAATATTCAAGGGTATGTTCAACAGCAGTTGAATATATGTCAGAATTATTGGGGTAGAGGCTAAAGCAGACAAAGATATCTTAAAGTTACTGACACAGGTAGTAATTCAAAGCATGAGAAGATATGAATGGAAAGAAGAGTGGAAGGTCAAGGATAGAAATTTGAGGAATGCTATCGGAGGAGGAGTTCAAGAGCAGAGAACTTAATTTCTCAGTATTAGGAAAATTAGGAGAGATTAGTGTCTTGTCAACCAGGGATACGGAAAATTTCGGAAGGATTGGGTACCAATGTCACATGTGGCAAGGAGGCCCTGAAAGATTAATGTTAGACAAACATCTGCTTTTGGAGGCATCCTGAGGGCGGGTACTTTGACTAATTTTTGTGTATTTAGTGCCTAGAACAATGAAAGACACAAGGTAGGCACTCCACAAATGCTTATGGAATTTTATTGACCTGGTAATCACTTTCATTAGTAAAATAAATTTACTCAAATGATTCAAACTCAAAAACTTTTGTGAGATGGTACTGATATTTTCCCAAGGGAGTTCTTCCTTAACCTAATCCAGGCTAAATTTTCAGTAAAAAAATAAAATAAAATAAAGGAAACGTAGAAAACTCATCAATCCAATGAAGGAAAGGAGGAAAAAATGATAAAAACACAAAATAAGGCAGGTAAGTAAATTTAACCAAAAGGTTAGTGTCACAGTATTAATATCAGAAAAGTAGAATTTAGGCAGAAACTTGCAATAGGACTAGAGGAGTGTTACAGAAGATTAAAAAGTATTAGTTCAGGGGCGCCTGGGTGGCTCAGTCGTTGAGTGTCTGCCTTCGGCTCAGGTCATTATCCCAGGGTCCTGGGATCGAGTCCCGCATGGAGTCCCGCATGGAGTCCCGCATCGGGTTCCCTGCTCGGCGGGAAGTCTGCTTCTCCCTCTCCCACTCCCCCTGCTTGTGTTCCCTCTCTCGCTGTGTCTCCGTCAAATAAATAAAATCTTTAAAAAAATAAAAAAATAAAATTGTGCTAAGGTTGATCCCTGAACATCCCAGGGTTAGGGGCCCCCACCTCACCCTACCCTAATGGAAAATCCCTACATAACTTGACTCCCCCAAAACTTAACTAATAGCCTACCATTGACGGAAAGCCTTACCAATAACATAAACAGCTGATAAATACATATTTTGTATGCTACATGTATTATATACTATGTTCTTAAAATAAGCTAAAGAAAATGTTAAAATCATGAGGCAAATATATCTAGGTCACTGTATTTATCAAAAAGAAATCCCTTATAGGTGGGCCCACACAGTTTAAACCCATGTTGTTCAAGGGTCAACTGTATTTTATTCATCACAAACTTTTTTGTATAAACTTTTATTTTTAAAAGTATTGCCTAAAAATATTATTTAAACTCAATTACTGAGTTTTTTTGGGCACCCATTTAAATTCTGCCCCTGGTGCACCTGGGTGGCTCAGTCCTTCGGTCGTCTGTCTGCCTTCGGCTCAGGTCATGATCCCAGGGTCCTGGGATCGAGCCCCACATCGGGCTCCCTGCTCCGCGGGGAGCCTGCTTCTCCCTCTCCCCCTCCCCCTGCCTGTGTTCCCTCTCTCGCTGTGACTCTCTCTGTCAAACAAACAAACAAAAGAGTATGCCTTCGGTTCAGGTCAGGATCCTGGGGTCCTGGGATCCTGCCAGTGGGCTCCCTGCTCAGTGCGGAGCCGGCTTCTCCCTCTCCCTCTGCCCCTACCTCCTGCTCATGCTCTCTCACGCGCCCTCTATCTCAAATAAATAAAATCTTAAAAAAAAAAAAAATTGCTGCAAGGCTAGTGCCTCACTCCAATCCCGGGTGTGGACAGAAGGATACTTGTGCGTATCTGAAAATATAACCCCAAGTGATATACTGCAAAATCGCAAGAAAAAAAATCTGACATAATCTCGACAATAGTGTAAGATTTTTAACATACCCGCATCAGAAACTGATCAATCAAAAAACGACAATTTCCCCGCAGCTCTATGAAGGGCAGGCGGTAGTAGGCCAGGCCGGTGCTGGGCGCTCGGGGTCCGGCCACCTAAACCCGTCCCTAGGCCGCCGGGGCAGAGGCTGGACTCTGGCGAGATCCCAGGCCACGCCGAGCAGGTGCATGCACTTCTTCCAAGCCTTCCCGGAAGAGACTAGGGCTTGCGGGCGACCATGGCCCCTCCCATGGGCGTATTCCTTATTCTACGTGGGCCGTTTCTTCTTGAAGGTCCTCTCCCTGCGCCGCGCGCACCACCCACGGGCTAACAGAAAAGTCGCCGGACCTCGCCAGTGGTGCCAAGCCCGCTGCGCACGCGCACAGGCCGGAAGAGCGGCGGGATGTGGCCCCAGTATACGAAGAGGAACACCACCCGCTTCTCGTTGCAGCCGCTCCTTCTTGGGCTCTGGCTCGGGCTCCGGCTTGGGCTACGGTTCCAGCACCAAGTCTCCCGCTCCCAGCCTCTCCTACTCCACGGCCGCCATGACCGCAGACACGTGGGCGTGACAGCCGTAAAGCGCCCCGACGTCGTGCTTTTGTCTTTCCCCCCATCTTTGGTTTTGGTTTAGTTTCCTCTGATTTTTCTTTTCTAGGTTCTTGAGTAGAACGCTTAGTTCTTTTTCGTGCGTGTGTTTCAAATAAATGCACTTAGGCTGAATTTACATTCCACCCGATATAATAAGTAGTACTTCCACTTTTTGGAGTAAATATTTTGTGATTTTTTTTTAACTTATGAATCGAATACAGTTTCTAGTTTCAAAACATGATATTTGTAAGTTTATAAATATTTTATATAATATTTAGATCCAAACTTTTAAAAAATATTTTATTTATTTATTTGACAGAGAGGGAGAGAGCACAAGCAGGGGGAGCTGCAAGCAGGAGAGGGAGAAGCAGGCTCCCTTAGGAGCAGGGAGCCGGATGTGGGGCTCGATCCCAGGACCCCCGGATCATAACCTGAGCCCAAGGCAGCCGCTTCACCGACGGAGCTACCGAGGTGCCCCAAGATCCACTTTTAAACATACTTTGCACAGGAACCTCCCCTTCAAATGCTATTAAGAATAATAATAATAAAAAAAAGCCCTAACTGCAGATAATGCTATATAATTTTGTGATGGAGGAAAAAACCCTTTTCCTTCTTCCCTTGTAAGTTCTTGACTGTGGCCCCTGTAACAAAAGACATTAAAAAGGGAAAAGCATACAAATCTATGTAAGTTTTAGTTGACATGGGAGCCTTCATAAGGAAAGGAAGACCCAAAGGAGCAGTTTGAGTCAACGCTTACGAAGTTGGACTGAGTGGTAAATTGTGAAAAAGTAACAAGACAAAGGGACTTGGGCTAGGGTGGTTAATCATGAAAGTGACCGGGAAGATAAGGGTTAGTTTAACCGGGGTTGGTTTGTACAGATTTCTCTTCGCCTCAGCTTGCCCTGCAGTGCAGTAACGCCATCTCACTCCACCCAGAGGAGGGGTGAAGTGTCGCCCTCTGGTGATAAAAAATGTCTTTCTTCCTCCAAGTGCAGGGAGGGCACCTTTTCCTTAGGAGTTTATCTCCTGCTTTTAGGAAGTTAGAATGCGGGGCGCCTGGGTGGTGGCTCAGTCTTGGGCGTCTGCCTTCGCTCCTGTCATGATCCTGGGGTCCTAGGATCGAGCCCCAGATCGGGCTCCCTGCTCAGCGGGAAGCCTGCTTCTCCCTCTCCCACTCCCCCTGCTTGTGTCCTCATCTTGCTGTGTCTCTGTCAAATAAAATCTTAAAAAAAAAAAAAAAGGAAAGTTAGAATGCCCTTTTTGCATTGCTGTTTTTTTTAAGTTAAGTTTTTAAACTTAAAATCAGTATGCCAGAGTGGCAATTTTTGGGGTGGAGTTTTCTGAATACCTTCAGTGAAAGTAAATTAGAAATTGTAGATGAAATGGACAATTTCTTAGAAAACTAAGATACCAAGATTGACTGGAGAAGATATAGAAAACCCAAAAAAGCATAACTATTAAAGAAATTAAATGAGAGTTGAACATATTTCCGTCAAATAGACACCAGGCCTGGATGGTTTCAGAGGTTTTACCAAGCACTGGAGGAACAGATAGTCCTCATCTTATTACAAACTCTTCAAATAATATAATAACAGAGAAAGCTACTCAATGCATTGTTGAGATTAATATAACCTTAATACCCAAAACATTCAAGATTCATATCAGAGGATGAGAGTATAGACTAATCTTGTTTATGAAAATAAATGCAAAAATTTAAATAAATAGCAGATCAAACTCGGAATCATATAAAAATTAATACCTTATGACCAAGTATGGTTTATCCCAGGAGGGCAGGGAAGAAAATAGATTAATCCATCATAGTAATTTAAAATTTGTGTGTTGAGTGTACTATGGGCTAAGCACTGTTCTAGGCATCTAGCAAAGTAATGAGTTAAAGGAAAAAAGCCTTGGGGTGCCTGGCTGGCTCAGTCTGTAGAGCCTATGACTCTTGTTCTTGGAGTTGTGAGTTCAAGACCCACATTGGGTGTAGAGATTACTTAACTTTTTTTTTTTAATGAAGAAGAAAAAAAAATGAAGGAGAAAAGCCTTTCATTGCTATACAGGAATTGAGAAGGAAGAGATAAAAACATCTGTTTACCTAGAAAACCAACGAATATCAACTCCAAATGATTATACCTAGAAAAAGCTCAGCAAAGTTGCTGGATACAAGATCAACATAAAACAATCCACAGCATTTCTACACATCAAAAATAACTAGAAAGAGTGATTTTTCCAAAGACCACAATAGCATAAAACCTATAAGGTACTTAGGAATATATCTAAGATAAGATATATAACAATATTTTATTATTTTCTTTATAAAGGCCTGGAAGGACATCAAAGAAAACCTGAATAACTAGAGAGATAATTCCACATTTATGGAGGGGAAAACAATATTTTTCAGATGTCTGGTCTCCCAAAATAATAAATAAATTCAGTGTAATTCCAACCAAAATTTCAAATATTTTTGCAGAACTTAGCAAGCAGATTCTAAAATTTTTAGGAATGGTAAAGGGCCAAGAATAGTCAAGACAATTTTGAAGAACAAGTTGGGTAAGGAGACTTAATTGTGTTAGGTATTAGGATTGATTAAAAAGTCATCTTAATTGAGACAGTATGAAGCTGATGCAAAGATAGGTAGATAGAGCAACGAAACAAGAGAAAGCCCAGAAAGAGCCCTATGTGTATGTGGGAACATGAAGACTTAAGGGGTGTCTACACATCAGGGAGACTGGGCAGTTCCGCTGTGGAAAGGCAGCGATCTTGCCAACAGAAGATCCCTCTGTCCTGATACAGACAAGAGAACACACTATATTACTGAGTGAGCATTCGCAGATTTACAAGCCTTTTGAAAGTGACTCTGAAGTTAGAACAGAATCGCACACATTTTATACAGGAAACAAGCAAGAATAACTTCTTATCTCCTCAAAAAACAGAGGTTTGCACCTTGTGGCAATCCCCGTACATCCTGTGAGAGACCCTGAGCTAATTCCAGAGGCATGTTCTTACATATCTAGAGGTTCTTTGGCAGTGACCTTAGATATATAGCTATAGATTAACAACTGAAGACTGGGTTTACTATTTAGGGAAATTTGCCTCTGTTGCCAAGGTTAGGGTAAGAACTCAGACTCACTATGTCTCTAAGGAAACACTCTTTAAGAAAGAAGGGAAGGGGAAAATGGTCTCTTTGTCCTTTATAAATGGAGAAAATAATTTTTATTTACCTCTATGGTTCTGAGACACTGGTTATCCTTATGCAAACAATTATTTTTCTGGCTCACAACATACGTAAAATCTGGGTGTAAAAAGCAAAACTCTTTTTTTTCATTAGAAAATATTTACTGAACACTAATTATGTCCTGGACACCAAGGATATGAAAATGGATAAAGCACCATCCTTTCAATCAAGGAGTATAGATTCTAGCAAAGGAAATAGATCCATAAACCAAAAAAATGATGATGAACACTATAAAGAAGTAAACACTCTAAAAGAAGTATAGGGTGCCTGGGGGAAGCCTGTTGAGATTTGATGATGGGATCTGATGTCAGGTCCCAAGTCCTCAACTGGCCACCCTAAGCTATGTTTGCGGGGGAAATTGTCCAGAAGGCTGATTTAGTTAAGGAAAGATTCACACTGGCTGGAACTTTGGCCTCAAGCCAGGTGAGCTGGCCTCTGCGGCTGAGAACTGGCAGGCTCAGTTGCTAAAAAGCAAAGCTTTTAAAACAAAATATTATTTTTATGACCTCCAGCTAGATAAGGATTTGCTAAATATGATATAATGGTGAACTATAAAGAAAAACTTTAAAAACAGTTAAAAGATAAGCTACCAAGTGGGAGAAAATAGTTTCTAATAAAAAAGATCGGAATCCAAGATATTTTAGGAATTCCTTTAAATAAATAAGGGGAGGGAGGGCGCCTGGGTGGCTCAGTTGGTTAAGCGACTGCCTTCGGCTCAGGTCATGATCCTGGAGTCCCGGGATCGAGTCCCGCATCGGGCTTCCTGCTCAGCAGGGAGTCTGCTTCTCCCTCTGACCCTCTTCCCTCTCGTGCTCTCTATCTCTCATTCTCTCTCTCTCAAATAAATAAATAAAATCTTAAAAAAATAAATAAATAAATAAATAAGGGGAGGGAAACAAACTGTAAAAACCAAACAAAAAAAAACTGGTAAATTAGGATTTAGCAATTTAAAGAGGTAATTTAATAGCCAATCATTTCACTCATATGGAAATGGCAAATTTAGGCCACATTACAATATCATTTCAATCCCACCAGATTGGCAAAATTTTAAAGTGACATTATGAAGTGTTGTGGAGAATGTACAGAAATGCAACTTAAGGGGCGCCTGGGTGGCTCAGTCATTAAGCATCTGCCTTCAGCTCAGGTCATGATCCCAGGGTCCTGGGATTGAGCCCTGCATCGGGCTCCCTGCTCAACGGGGAGTCTGCTTCTCCCTCTCCCACTCTCCCTGATTGTCTCCCACTCCCCCGGCTTGTCTCCCACCCCCCCAGCTTGTGTTCCCTCTCTCGCTGTGTCTCTCTCTGTCAAATAAACAAATAAAATCTTAAAAAAAAAAAAAGAACAGAAATGGAACTTTAATCTACTGCAGGTGGGAGTGTAAATGGGTATAATCACTTTGAGAGCAATTTGCCAGTATCACAGGATAAGGTGCATATTTCCTCTCTGTAGCCTTCCGGTTTTAGTCTATGTGCTGCCAAAGCAAGTATATCCTACAACCTAGTGATCCCATGCAGTCTGTTCTCTAGAGCAGTGGTTTTCCAAGAATGTTCCAGAACTGGCAGAATCAGCATCACTTGGGGAGTTGTTAGATGTGCACATTTTCAGGCCTCATCCCAGATTTACTGAATCAGAAACCTAAAGTGGGGGAGGGATTGACAGCAATTGGGTTTAAAAAGCCCTCCAAATGATTCTGATGCACGTTTAATTTTGAGAACCACTGCCT